TAGGTGCATTGTAGTAATGTAACGGATCAAGCATATAAGTAGAGATACAACTTTGTCCAAAATTTTGAAAAATGTCTGCTAACAGAAAAACGTTTGTTTTTAAATATAAATCTGAATATTCACCGAGGGTGTTGAGTAGAAATTGATCCCAAACGTGGCGTGCATGTTAAAAATCGTCATCGGAAATGTCCGAATCGTTGAGTTTCGAATAGAATTTTGATTTGTCAGGTAGTTGTCGTTCGTCAAGTTTTTCTTAACTGTCAATATATTCATATGGGAAAACACCTTTACGAGTTACTAACTGAAATTTATCTGGCTCGGGATAGAAACTTTTGGTAATTGATTTTCCGTTATTATCCAAAAATGATGCAAGTTTCTCAATACTATTGCTCATGAATCGGAAAGAATCAATAAATCGTAATTTAACAACTATTTCTTTTTTCCTTTTTTTGCAGGAAATTTTCTGATCAACTATTTTTGTAAATGCTATGTATTTTTCTTTATTAACAGGTAATAATTCCATATAACCTTTAAATGATGTAGCCAATGATTTAATGAAAAAATGTGAGTCATATCCTGAGAGGTTATGAAAAATGACTGGAATTATGCATGGATTTTGATAATTTAAATTACAATTAACATGAGCAGCGCCTCGATAATTACCTGTAAAGTGACAGCGATCATGTACTTTCGTTCCATCATGTAAAAATGGTTTATTACAAATGTGACAGATTTTTGCATTACGAAAATCGTTTAGTTGTTGAGATGTTAATGGTTCCATTGGAACTACGTTTTCCAGGTAAATTTTGGCAGTTTCAGCTATTTTTTTTGATTCAGTCATGTACCAGTTTATACAATTAACATCACGTTTAAGATTGAATTGACATTTTAAATTGTCATACTTACAGTGCATATAATAGGCTACACTACATGGAATATACCTTTGATTACCTTCATTATCAGGTCCAAGAATACTCTTAAGATCGGCATAGACAGCAAATGGTACAGGGTCTTTAAAATGAAAATTTTATTTTAACACCTTTCTCAGGAAGTGAAATTCGCGTATTGTTTATATTGATATAGTCTTTTTGATGTTTTTCAAATGAAGTTTTAACCTGAAAATGGTTGAGACATCGATTACATAAAATTACTCGACCGTTATGCTTAGAAATTTGATTTCTAACTAATTTTGAAAAATCCTTTATAAGGCAAAAATGAAAAATTGAGTTAATGTTTTCTTTATCATCTATTTCAACTCGACTCTGAACCATTAACAGATGAATACATGGTCCATCTACTTTTTAGTGTTTACTTAAATATAATGGAATAATTTTACAATCGTCATCCAAACCGTACACATTTATTGCTAGATTGTTAAGATCTTCGAATTTTGGGACATCATGTAGAGTGATAGGACCGTTAATACCTTCATCTTTTACCACACTTTTATAATGTGGATATGAACTTGATCTTGTAGAATTTATATTAGCTGGAAAAAGTGCTGCAGTAACTGCCCAAAAGAAACAGCATTCATCATTATTTTAATATTTAATACTCCTTTTTTTTGTTGTATAAATTTTAGTAGAGGTACAAATGTAGATTGCCCAGCTGATAAAGGTTGATAACGATTGATATTGACTTGCTGATATTCAATTTCTTCAATTGACCAACTAGAATCTCGTTCTTGAAAATCCCCGACTTTTGTTAGTAGTTTGCCAACAATATTTTCCGGGAAATGTTTTTTTATGTTTGTTGACGGCAAAATTGCTTTATTTTTAACATTAAAGTACTTAATTTCTACAACTGTTCCATCATATGTTTGATTACTGAATTTACAAGCAAGGACAAAGTTCACTTTCAAATATCCCTCATTTGTTACTATATCTGTCAACTTTTCGGTAATCAGCTTTTCATCGTCCAATAAGAAGTCTCGTAAATTCGAATGTTGCAAGTTAATGGCAACACCAGTGCGAATTCGATTTTGGAAAATATTTTCCAAATCTTTCCATCGAATCAATTGTTCTGTTGATTGAAGGCTTTATTCAACGATTGAATGATTTATATACTTTTCATGTAATGTTGCGAGTTCTGTAATTATCGATTGAATTCGTAGTTTTTCACCAACCGATAAACCACTCGATTGCAAATCTCTGTTCAAAGTAATAATATCTTTAGCACTAATTCACACCCATTTATCAATGATTCCCCTAGATTCATGATTCAAATATAGTAGAAGAGCATAAGACTCCTCCATCATTTTAATGAAATCAGAATAATAGTTTAGTGCACTCATTGTATTTTTACTATACCAGACAAACTTCAAAATTACAATGATGAAAAAGCGTGCTCAATAAGGTTTATATAAGAATAGATGACCTTGTAATGGCTTTCATAATCCAAAAAAAATTTCTTGAAAGTTCGAGAATATCAATTTTGTGTCATTTTCTAAGATCAGATACCAAATTTAACTCATATTAAATAACTATTTTTTTTTTAGATGTAAGAGGGAAAATATCGAAATTAAAAGAACTATGATTCCAAATTTTTTCTATTTATTGCAAATTTTTTTAGATTACATTGATTATTATAAGATCTACATTTCATCAACTGTAAATTCAAACGAATTATTAGCTCCGCCATAGTACGACAATGATAATCTCTTGTCAGCGGCCAACTCAACCAATTTTTCAAATTCTTTTTGATTTCCCAAAATTTTCACCGTTTTTGTAGGTAAAAATATCATGTAGCTATTTTTAACTGTTGCCACAACTTTTGTTCCATACACAGTTTCAAGTTCTTTTAGACCAGTAATTTTGTACGTATTAGACGGTTTTAATGTATCCATTTTTTTGGTTGGTAAGTATGTCTCACACTTGTCAATTTTATTTACTCTTGATGAATCCATTCTTACTGTTTGAATTATGTATCACAACGTATTTCTTACAGTTTGAATTTATCAGTGATTTTAAACAGGACTTGCATGGGTATAAATACAATTCATTCCGTCTGAACAAAGATTCCAGAATGATCCAATTTTGATGCAATCATAAATTAAAACATGCGTATAAAACGTTTACATGCTGTTTAATCATCCCCTGCAAAAAACTTCCAGAACATGTCAAGGCTGTAAACCAGCTCTAAGATCATGTGAATTCTTGCCCGATTTTCCAAGAAATATCTTGAGGGGGGGGGGCATGATGTTTCATCATTCTTGCTAAACATTTCAGACTAACAAAAATTACATGTAATGTAAAAAAAATCCTACAAAATGCAATTTTATAAACAATCGTTGTAGTGATCAAACAATAAAATTAGATGTTATATGTTTCAGTGATAATTTTTAAACCGCCATATCAGTGGGAATATTTACCTGAAAAATATGAATGCATAAATTCGTGGTTAATACGTAATTATCATGGCATTCCATGGAAATCTGGTACAATTCCATACGATGAATTTCCTTACATTCTTCGTGTACTTGTTGAAGATCGAGACCGTATTTACGTGAAAGGAGATGAAAAGAAAAAATGGTTAGAAACTTTAATTGACAACTTAAAAGTTGTAATTAATTTGTAAACTTCGATTGGATCATTGAACTGGAAGTAATGTGAAATAGCGTAAATTAAATAACCAAGCTTTTCAATGAGAGCACACGTTCAGTGTGCTGTACTAAGTTTATCGATATAGAGCATTTTAAGAAGAGGGTTGACTACGACAATAGCCGATTTGGATTTTTGCGGCGACGAGGGCTTGGCCAAATCCTCTAATTGCGTAGTCTTGTGAATTAGCATTTGTAGAGTAGGGCTACTGTAATAACAGTACATCCAGTTGCCTTTCTTTCACAAGTGCAAACGCTTATTTCGTTTTGGAAAGCCAAGCCACAACTCTGGTTTATACAAACTGAAGCCACATTTAGAAGACGGAATATGAGAAACAACGCTTTAAAGTACGACGCTGTCATCGAAATCCCGGACGAAGTGGCAATAAAAAAAGTCTCCGACATTCTAGCGAATCCTCCAGCCCATGGGAAATATGAGTACCTGAAAGAAAACCTCATAAAACATTTAACAGACTCTTCGGAACGTCAGTTACACAAGCTGCCATCAGAGATCGATCTTGGCCGTAAGAAACCATCTCAACTGCTAAGACACGTGAGGGATTTAGCTGATAACCAGGCCACAGACGACCTGATAAAAACAAAATAGCTCGGGTTGCTGTCAGCGAACGTAAGAAATCATCTCGAAGTCGTCAGAAATGCTGATCTTACCGAGCTAGCAGACATCGCAGACAGTATTATGGAAAACTACAGTGACAACAACAGTATAATGGCGGTAGCAGGCAGTCAACCATCGCCTAACGTATGTCATCGCATTATCACCACGGGTAAAGAAGTCCACGAGCGACCTCGCAAACTGGGTCCGCGGAAATTAAAAGCAGCACAGGCAGAATTTAATGTAATGTTTAATCAAGGACTAATTCGTTCGGCAGATGGTTCCTGGGCAAGCCCGCTGCATATGCAAAGAAAGAAAGGAGGAGATTGAAAAAAGCTTATTATCTCATTCCAATGGCAGAGAAAGACTCGAAGAAGAACGACAAGCGAAAAATTGAATGGACTCAAGCAGCCGAAGATGCATTTATACAGTGTAAAAAAAGTTTCGCAGCAGTAACAATAACATTATTTCCAGCTTCAGACGCTACTCTGATGCTCTGCACTGATACATCAAATACAGCCATCGGTACATCACTTGAACAAAAAAAAATGACGTGTGGTGTCCAGTTGGATTCTTCTTAAGAAAGCTCAGTCCGACAGAGGGAAACTACTTAACGTACAACAAAGAACTTCCAGCAATTTATTCTGCCATAAAATATTTCCAGAAAAAGCGTCACAACGTCAACTGAAACAATGAAATTTTATATTGCGATTTTCTACGGAAATAATTCACATAAAGGGTGAAGAAAACCTGGTAGCAGACGATCTGTCTCGAGTCAACCAAATTAACATGCCAACGGTGATAAGTGCACAAGATATCGAAATAGCTCAAGATCAACATGACGAACTAGAGAGCTTGCTGCAAAGATCAACGTCGTTGAAGTTACAAAAATTAGTGGTAGAGCCTGATACAGAGATTTATTATGATATTACTAATGGAATAGTACGTCCATATGTTCCAAAGTCGCTCAGACGAACAGCCTTTCACACCATTCATGGCTTGGCACACCCTAGCGGTTGTACAATAGCAAAAACAGTGAAAGCAAAATACATTTGGCTCGGAATTAGACGAGACTGCATTAAATAGTGCAGGGAGTGCATCGAGTGTCAACACGCTAAAGTTCAGAGACATAACAGAGTACAACCTCTGGGTATTGAAGTTCCAGATGGACGATTTAACCACGTGAACATTGATATCGTCAATATGCCAACAGTGGATGACTATAAATACTGCCTCACAATCATTGACAGGTTCACAAGATGGCCCGTAGTCGTGTCTCTGGAAAATATAACAGCGAGCACAGTGGCAACAGCACTATTCACACACTGGATTAGTCAGTTTGGTACGCCTCTCACAATAACGACGAATCAAGATCCTCAATTTGAGTCGACATTATTCAGAACACTCACAAATTTTGTTGGAGCAAATAGAACGAGATCGTCACCATACTATCCAGCCTCTAATGGTCTTATCGAGTGTTGGCATTGCACGTTAAAAGCAGGGTTAATGTGTAAGCCTGATATACCATGGACAAGTTTACTCCCTTCAGTTTCGCTGGGCCTTCGTACGTGTTACAAGCCTGATCTTGGGGCTTGATCAGCGGAGCTAGTATATAGAACACAACTTAGAGTTCCAGGTAAGTTTTTTGTACACCAAGACGCCCAGAGTGATTCTCAAGAATTCGTCGAACAACACAGAGAAGTGATGAGACAGCTACGATCTATCCCAACATCGAATCATCACAAGACACGTCCGTTCAGGCATAAGACATTGGATACGTGCACGCACGTATTCCTACGCAGTGACCACGTAAAAAAACTACTGGAACTTCCATACATGGGTCCGTACAAAGTGGTAAAGAGAACTACAGATCGCTTGTTTGAAATCAATGTTAACGGGGAACATAAAAACATTGCTATAGAAAGGTTGAAGCCAGCACATCTTGCTCAGACAGTCAAGAATGTAAACACTTCAACAGACAATCAAACGCATCCTAGTCGAGAGGTTGTTCCAGCGTCTGCAGCAACTAGCCACACGGGAAAAAATAAAATATATCTACATTGATCTACTTAGACCTATTGTTTTGGCACAATTAGATTTACTTTGTTCTGTGTACATCTGTTTTGATTACCTTAGATCTTCTGTAATCTCTGTAGATGTATTAAATTTTTTTTATCAACGAGATCAATGAAGATCTCCATAAACATACAGTAATTTGTGTAGATATACAGGGATCTCACTAGATATACATAGATTTACTAAAATCAAATTTTCTTTAGTTTTTTAGATATGAGTAGATCAAATTAGATATAAAAAATGGCGAAAATGTGGATCTGAGTGAATCTATTTTATTTTTTTCCGGGCAGCGTCCACCACCAACGAATCCTGAAAATAGTCATTGTCAAACACAGCTGGCACAAAACAACGATACAAATCGACTACAGTCAACACAAAATCGGAGTCCAAACGCATCAGTGAATTCCCTGGAATTTTCTGGATACTATGGCTCTTACACCAACGCTGACGAGCTGAGAACGAATTCGTTGAAATATTGATTCCTATCAATTTGTTTGCAGCATCAGCGTTAATGGTCTGTTCCAAGGTAAGATCCACTGAATGTCTCGAGAATTGCTTATTAGTTATTTTGATATCATGTGATCCCTTAACTATAGCCGTGGATGAGATAGAGAAAGAGAACTTTCATCAAATCATCGTGATATAAAATGATATATCTCGAATAGTTTCATTGATTGAAAACAACAAAAAATATTGGTAGTTTTTAGCAATATAATTAAAATAATTTAAAATAGGGCTTTCCAATGCTTTTACATAATAAAAAGTAATAATTGAATCAATTAATATATATCATATAAAATTGGGCAGTTCTTTCATGTTTGCCTTCTAGTGTTCGTAACAGTCAACTCGGTACGTGTGTACAAGCAGAGATCGAACGCAGTCAAACTTGCGAGTGAAAAACCGGAAAAAGTATTTCTCAGAAATGGAATAACTCACCAGTTAATCATTTATAGTGATGATTGTGAACTCATCAGGCAGTCTAACTCTCAGCAGATTTATCCAGTAAGCTTAAGTTGGTCCGAATAAGCATCTTCGTTGCAAAAGGCGCGAACGATGGCGGCATAGACGCCTCATGGACAGTCACATACACAAGATCCATCAGAACAACTCGCTTGTGTCTATGTGACTGACGCCAACCCATTGAAAATCAGACGACTCCTGGTGCAGAGAACAGTACAGGAAAACTTACAACTTTCCTGTGATCTTCTACTTATTAGTCAACTCTATGTAAAAGTTCAGTGAACTCAATACTGCACAGACAATTCAAAGACTTTGTTTTTCAGTGAACTTATCTCATATAATTATTAGACAGACTCTCTTCTCGTTATTTTTCTGTTACTGTTACTTTTGTAGTGAATAAATCGTTGATTGTTACTGTAATGTCTAAATGTATTTTAATTATTTCACATAATTATTAAAAATATATTTTAAGAAAAGCTAAAAATGAATAGCAATAAACTTAAGGATTGAGGTTAACGATTATTACTCAAGTTATTTTTTGAGTTTTCCTAAGATTTCGTTAAAATAGAAAGGATTTCGAAGAATAGTTGAGGAAGTCATTTTTTAGATATTTTATTGCTTTTGGAAAACCCACGTGGCGAAAAGCAATAAAACTCTAAAAAAGAGTACGTGACGTAAGAAAAGCGTTAAGCTTTTCCAAAAAGGGAAAAGACCATGCGAAGGGACTTGTGCGCGCCTGAAGCAAGGGACTTCTAATTATGTCACATTCGACTAAATAAATACGTAAGGTTTGATGCATCAGTCAGTTGTCGAAAAAGTAAGATCGAGATCAGATCGTCGTGGAACATCTCTTGAAATCATAAGTCTTGAGTATTGTATTGATAATACTTCAAAGTTTGTAAATTTTTGCATGAAGTTTATTTGATCGTCAAATTATTTTTAAATTGATATTTAAATTAATTCGCGAGAAAAAGTGAATAATTGCGCTGACTGGAACATCGACTGAGGACCAATTAATTGTAATTCATCTCGACCAGAGTAAAAGAAATCATCTGTTGGTAACGTTTAAATTGTTGTTATAATTTTTCAATAATTTTCATTCAATAAAATTTTGTTATTGTTTTTATATAAATCACACATTTTTACTTTCTCTATCGAAGATCCCCTCATCCCTGTCTATTGGTCGAAAGGCTAGGACTAAAAAGAGGAACTTAAAGTCTCTAAGGTTAAGCATATGGTTTACATATTGACACCTTTAAAGAGCAAAATTCCATAACAATTTTTGGGGGCTCGTCCGGGATTGCAATGATCTTCTATGGAGAAATAGTTTAAATGTCTGATAATTCTGGATCATTTAATAATAATAAAAAAGGTTATTCGCTGAGAAGTACCGGTGACCCACTATATCCTGAAGGTTTAGCTCCGCCTACTAGACCTAAAAGTTTCAAGTTTGTTGATTCGGGTATCGGTGATTTAACAAAAATATCAGAATCGAGTGAACTCGTTACATCTGACGAGAGTGATAATAGTGACGAAACGATAAATCAAACTCAAGCTCACGTAGAGACGGAAAATATAGATATAAATATGACGGAACAAAGGAAAATGTCTGATAATCAAAATATATCTCTCAAAGACGCGTTAATATGCATTCCTATATTTACGGGCAAACCAGAAGAATTAATTGATTTTTCAAATTGTTGTGAGGAAGCAAAATGTATGTTACCAGAGCAAGTAGAATCAAATCTCACTAAATTAATTTTTGGTAGTAAATTATCTCCTTCAGTTAAAGATGCATTAAATGAAATAACATATAGCACTGTAAATGAACTCTTAAGAGATCTTAAAAAAGTTTATGTCCCTTCTAAAACACTTTTTCAGTTGCAAGGTGAACTAGGAAAAATGTTTCAAAAAGATGATGAATTTGTAGTAGACTTTGTTAATAGATTACGGAAAAAAGCAAAAGAAATAGTAGAATGTTTCAAAACAAATAATCCGACTGCTACTCCGAATGAAATTCAAATCTATAAAGATAATACTGATAAAGCCGTAGCTCAATGTTTTGTTCAAAATTTAAGAAATGAAATAGATCAACGAATGTCTCGATGTGACAACGTCACTGAGGCCTTAGAAAAGGCAATAGAAATAGAAAGACGATTAATTGCGCGAAGAGAAATTCGTAAAGACCCAAATAGTATAAAAACTAAAGAAAATAAAAATGAAGATAAAAATAAACCCGTTAAATTTGTAACTAATAAACCAAATAACGATAAAGACAAAAGTTGAAATAATAATAGTCAAGAGAAACCAAAGATTATTTGTCATTCATGTAATAAACCTGGTCATATAAAGAAAAATTGTCGAGAGAAAGATAATAATAATTCAAGAGGAAATTGTCAGCTTTGTAATAAAACTGGACATACTGCTAAAAATTGTTTTAAAAATCCAAATAGAGTTTCATCAAACGTAAAATGTCAAATTTGTGAAAAAAATGGTCATATTGCTAAAACGTGTCGATTAATTAATCATTCGAATGAAAGTAATCAAAGTAAATCTTGTAAATTTTGTAAAAAATCTGGTCACGACATTTCCACTTGTTTCCGTCTTGAAGCTAAAAAATACGACGAACAGGAAAACTCGAATGTGTCTCGCCAAATGGGCGCGGGGTCAGAGGCACTTCAAAAGCGTCCAGTGACATTGACTTTCGAGGAGGAAACCGAAAACGAGTACTAATCATGAGCGTGAAATTAGAAAATTTAGACGATCTACCGTATATTATTGTAGGCAAAACAAATAAAAATAAAGATGTAATTATGATGATAGATTCAGGAGCTTCGCCGAACTTACTTAAATTTAGCTATGTAAATGATCCGACGACAATTGATAAAAGTAAAATTGTTGAATTGCACGGTATTGCAAATGTACCAATAAAGACACTCGGAAGAGTAAAAGTTAAATTATTTAATAAAGAGACTGTATGTCATGTGATTCCTGATACTTTAGGTATTCCGCATGCAGGTCTCGTAGGATCTCGATTTTTCGCAACTCATGGGGTAAAAATTGATTATAAAAATAAAGTAATGAAAGTAGATAATGTTAAATACCCATTTAAAAAAGCTAATAGAGTCGAGGATGGAGTGATGTATATTCCCCCTCGTAGTGAGTCAACCTTTTTCGTAAAAGTTAAAAATAAAAATATTGTCGAAGGATATGTCCCAAGATTAAGAGCGTGTAAAGGCGTATTTTTGGGAGACTGTTTAGTACGTGTTAATGATGGTCGTGCTTATATGCAAGTTTTTAATACGACTGAAAATGAAGTGGGATTGAAAATTCCTACTTTATTTATACAGTCAGTAGAGAATTTACATGATCCTAAAATTGATCAAGAAGACTGTTTGAACAGAAATTGTGAAATTGAAACTCAATCAGATTTTAATAAACTAAATTTTAAAGATTTTAATGTGGAAAAAATTTTGTCAATTGTTGAAAATTTTGAAAATGATAAAAGATTTAAAAAAATTATAAAGTTATTGAGATTAAGCCATTTAGGCGAAGAAGAA